TATATATATATATATATATATATATATATATATATATATATATATATATATATATATATATATATATATATATATATATATATATGAATAACAGGAAGAACAACAGATACCAAGCCAATATAGATAGTCCTCGACTTACAACAATTTATTTAGCAACCACCTGAAGTTACAACGGCACTGAAAAAGTGACTTATGAATGCGTTTCACATTTATGACTGTAGCAGCATCTCCACAGTCATCTTATTAAAATTCTTGGCAACTGATGCTTGGCAACTGATTCATATTTATGACCATTGCCGTGCTTGGCAACTGATTCTTATTTATGACCGTTGCCGTGTCCTGGCGTCACCTGATCCTCTTTTGTGGATCAAAGTCAATGAGGAAGTCAGATTTAATTAACAGGCAAGCTCTTCACCGCCAACTGTGGCAAGAAAGGCCACAAAATGGGGGCAAAACTCACTTAACAACTGCCTCACTTAGCAACAGAAATTTTTGAGCTCAATTGTGGTCGTAAGTTGAGGATTATTTGTAGTTAGATAAAAGAGCCTTGAACCTAGTCCAAGAAAGTAAGTTGAAAAAAACCTGTCAGAATAGGCCAAGGGTAGACAACTTTGGCTCTTTTATGACTTGTGGACTTCAACTCCCAGAATTCCTGAGCCAGCCATGCTGAGGGGAAAGGGAGAGGTTTCCAAGCTGAGCCATGCTGGCTCAGGAATTCTGGGAATTGAAGTCCATGAGTCATAAAAGAACCAAGGTTGCCTACCCCTGGACTAGGCCCTCCCTAGTTCCCACAAAGTTAACATGAGGGAGAGAGAATATATCCCCAAATCATCAATCTGACACTTGCTTCTTTTTTAAAAAAAATCCACATTGGGCAGGAGTCCCCAACTTTTCTCGGTTGACGGCCCGGTGGGAAAGAGAGACAGGCACCTTTATACGCGTGAGCACGCACACGCAAATGTGGCTATGCACACGTGTGCTCGAATGGGGCCATGAGCATGTGCGCTCTGCAAATGGGGCTGGCATGAGGGTCAAGTGGGTGTGAGTGCACGCACACATGTGCGCACGGTGTCCAGCCATTCACACGGCCCGGTGGCCAAGAGGCCATGGGTTGGGGATCTCTGACATAGGGTTTCCAATCTGTCAAAAAGTTCTTTGTCAGTTCTTAAGCTGACCGAGCTGGTCAGTTTCCCCATTTCTGCAAACTCAATTAACTTCTTAATCCAATCTTCCACTGGAGCTATGTCATTGCTTTTCCAACTTTCTGCAAACAATAACCTCATTGCAGTTACCAATACAGCATTCATTTCCATATTTCTTTCCTAATTTTATTTCCATAAGACCCAGCTGGAATAATTCTGCTGGTTCCATCATTAAAAAAACAAAAAAAGTCTTATTTTCAAACTGAGATACAACTTACCGGCACTAAAAAAGCCAAAAACTCCAACACGATAATTTGCAGTTACGACAATGAGATTTCCAACTCCAGCTAAGTAGGAACCATCAAGGATTGTCTTTTTGGCTTGGTCATCATCATTTACGCTGTTCTGGAAGTAAACCAGCACTGGTAGATTCCCTCCCTGCCACAATAAATGACAGATTTGTTATTATTGTTGTTATTTGAAATATATTATAGCTGCCCACTCCCACAGACTCTAAGCTGCCACAAATACAAATGAATAAAAAGCCATTTAAAACATACAGTCCCACAGACAGCTCAGAGTAAAACAATAAAACATTAAAATTAATTCACAATTAAAACAGGGAAAGAAGCTGTGGTAGAAAGTCAATTGAGAACTAAGGTCAGCCATAAATAATATTCATTAAGGTTGCCCTTATCTTAGCATTGCTAATTTGTCATCCTCATTGCAGCCAAAGTTGACCAGGGCCAAAAATATCTACTGTGGGAGGAGTTCTAATTTTAACTGAAAATAGCAGAGGTTCCTAGTTTTCTAATGTGATCTCATATACTTCATAATTTATGAGTAATTACTGATAATTTGGAAATGTGAAACTTCTATGACATTCTTGATCCTTCACACTCATGGAGATCCTTCACCCCAAATCACTGACACCGCCATATTATTTTATTCCTTCCTTCCTTCCTTCCTTCCTTCCTCCCTCCCTCCCTCCCTCCCTCCCTCCCTCTCTTTCTTTTTCTTTCTTTCTTGTTCTCTTATTCTCTCTTTTCCACCCAGATCATCCCATTCAACATTGCAAGGTGAACCCCAGGACCTTAAAAGATTTCTGATCCAAATGCTCCATTGAATTCTGAAGAGGTAACTAGAGA